CCTTCTCCTTCTCCTTCTCCTTCTCCTTCTCCTTCTCCTTCTCCTTCTCCTTCTCCTTCTCCTTCTCCTTCTCCTTCTCCTTCTCCTTCTCCTTCTCCTAGGGTGACCCGGGGGAGCCGGGCGAGAAGGGCGAGCCGGGGCGAGCGGGCGCCCCGGGGCAGAGCGGCGTGCGCGGCAAGGAGGTACCAAGGGCCCCCGCTAAAAACGAGCACCGACATTCCCCACGCGGGGTGTGCGGGGCACTGCTGCTGCGGAGCCCCCCGGGGGGGGATGCCCCTGCAAGGACAGCGGGATGCTCCGTGGGGAGCAGCGCGGACACCAGTGACGGGGTTTTCTCTCTGCCGCCGTGCTGGACGGTGCCCGCTGATCTGCGCTGCAGGGAGAGCGTGGGGAGAAGGGCGATGAAGGCAGCCCGGTGAGTGAGGACCCCCCGGGACACTGCCCCCCGCCATGCCCCCTGTTTCCTGGCCGTGCTCACCTCCTGTCTCCCCTAGGGTGAAGCTGGCCCGCCTGGCAAACCAGGAGACAGGGGTGCTCGGGTGAGTGCTGGGGCAGCGCGAGGGCTGGGTGGCCTCAACCCTAACTCACACTGATGCTGCCTCTGCCCCGGCCAGGGCCTCCCCGGATACCGCGGCCCCCCGGGGGAGAAGGGCGACCCGGGGGACCCCGGTCCTGAAGGCAGAAACGTGAGTACCACTTCTTGCAAGCTAGGGCACCCGCTGCCCTATGGGCATCACCACAAGCACCCTGTGTCCTGTGCAGATCAGCACCCTGGGGGCACCCACCATCCATGGGCAGCGTTGTCCTATGGGCACCACCACCCCGTGGGCACCACCACCCCGTGGGCACCACCCCTCCAAGGGCACCCACATCCGTGGGTCCTGCCCTCACGCCATCCCCTCTCTCCCACAGGGCAGTCCTGGAGCGCAAGGCACCAAGGGTGACCGCGGGGAGCCGGTGAGTGCCGCACGGCCAGGGGCCGCCTGCCTGCCCCCTCGTTACCGTTGTCCTCTCCGGGGCTGCACCCAGGTCCTGCTAACCCCCTTGTCTCTCTCCATCCCACAGGGGCCCCCCGGACCCCCAGGACGATCCGTAAGCTCTGCCCCATTCCCGTCTCCCCGCCGGTGCCCAGCACCAGGGGGTCTCAGTGCTGCTCTCTGCCTCGCAGGTTGACGGGGGGCTCGGAGCAGCGGGAGAGAAGGGCGAGAAGGTAACGGGCAGCCCCGGGAGGGAGGAGCGGGTCCCCTGCAGCTCTGGTGGCAGAGTGGCACCCTGCGGGTCCCTGGTCAGGCTCTGCCCACCCAGAGGGTCCTCTGGTCCCTGGTGTGCCCTGTTTCCCACCCGAAATAGCCCCTCGCGGAGCTGGTGCACAGCCTGGCTTTGCAGAGGGGTAGAGCTAGAGAGGAGCGTCCTCTTGCAAGACCTCAGAGTCTGGAGGCGGTTTGGGGCACAGCCCGTGCTCTGTGGGGTGCTGCCTGGTGTCATGGTCCTGCTGCCTGCCCTGTGCTCAGCCCCGCTGCTTTTCCTCTTAGACGCCTTCACATGCTCTTGGCTCTCTGGGTTGCATTTCTTTGGTGATCGGGGAGTCCAGGAGCATGTTTTTCACAGCCTGGCTCTCGTTGTTATCCCGCGCTTAACCTGTTTGCTGTAAGGGAGAGGTGCTTGGCGTGAGGCTGCCTTGGGGCCAGCTGCTGGCCGGGCGACCCGTTTGCCCTGCTCTTGGGCTGTACCCTCTAAGCGTGCTGCCTTCCCTGGCAGGGGGACGCTGGGGACCCCGGCGAGGATGGTGCCAAGGGCGCCAGGGGCGAAGCTGGCTCCCCCGGCCTGCCCGGAGAGCGGGTAGGTGTCCGTGCGCCGGCGCCGCGGCGGGAGATGCCCCAGGGCAGAGCCCACGGCGGGTGGGACGGGCATCCAGGGCTCCCTTTGCCCTCCCCAGTGCCAGCGCTGAGCTCGGCTCGTTGTCTTGCAGGGCATCGAGGGCCCCCGAGGCCCCCCCGGCGCACGGGTGAGTCCCCTCGTCCCCGCGGGGGTCTGTGCTGCCCCCCTGCTCGGGGGCACCCCTCCTGCTCACTTCTCTTCGCGCCCCACAGGGTGACCCTGGGGAGCGAGGCCCGCCAGGAGAGAAGGTAAAGGGGCCTGGGGGCTGCCCCAGTGCGCCCTGTCCCTCCCGCGCCCCGCGGCCCTCACCCCCGTCTCTTGCAGGGTGACCGTGGCCCGCCGGGGCTGGACGGCCGCAACGGGCTGGAAGGCAAACCGGGGCCGCCGGGTCCTGCCGGGCTGAGGGTGAGCCGGGAACGGGAGCCCCGCGGGCACCTCCGGCGCCCTGCCCGGGGACTGCGGCCCTCTGCGCCCCGCAGCAGGGCCCCTGGGCACGCGGCGTCCTGTCTGCCTCTGCCCTCACATCCTTCTTCTGTGCAGGGTGACGTCGGGAAGCAGGGGGACCCCGGCCGGGACGTAAGTACCCCAGGGCGCACAGGTTGGTGCCAGGGTGCGTAGCGTGGGTGATGCTGCCAGCTCTGGCCAAGCGTCCTGGCTCCATCCCCCTCACTGCTCACCCTGGGGCAGGACGTTGGGAACATCCCCCGCCTTGGGCAGCGGAGGCTCCCCCCGGGTCCCCTGTCCCAGGGCACCGTCCCTGTCCCTGCCGTGGGAGATGGGTGCCGTGCTGCTGGGTACCCAAGCAGGGCGCTGCCTCTCGCCGTCTCCTCTCCCTGCAGGGCCTGCCCGGGCTGCGTGGGGAGCAGGGCCTGCCCGGCCCCGTCGGCCCCCCGGGACCCCCCGGCCTCCCTGTAAGTAGCGGCTGCTCCGGGCACCGGGGCTGCCTCCTGCTCCGTCCCCACTCCGGCTGCTCCGTCCCCGCTCAGGCTGCTCCCGGGCGGCTCCGGCTGCCCGGCTGGCACCGGGATCTGGTGCCAGGGACCTGGCTGCCGGTGCCGGCTGCGCGGGCAGCTCCCTCCATAACGCTCTCCTCGCAGGGCAAAGCCGGTGACGACGGCAAACCCGGCCTCAACGGCAAGAATGTGAGTAGAGCCTGGGGGCTGCAGGGATGGGGAGAGCACCCCCACACCCACAAGGAGTGCCCAGCCCTGGGCCGGGCAGTGCATGGTGAAGAGCTCGCTGTGCTTGTAGCCTGCGGCACCGTTCCCGTCCCGTCCCATGTGGGGATGTTGGGATCAGCCCGGGCTGCCGGCGGGTGGGCGCTGACTCCGGGCCTGCCTTTCCAGGGGGAAGACGGGACGCCAGGAGAAGATGGGAGGAAGGTGAGCAGCATAGTCCAGCGGCTGTGTCTAGTGGCACCATTGGGGCAGGGTCTCGCTTGGAGCAGCTCCTCGTCTGGGAGCACCTCCCGGTGCCGCGCTGGTGGGAAAATCATCCATTGAACTTCTCTTTTTCCTCCTGATTAGGGAGAAAAGGGTGACGCTGGAGCCCCCGGCAGAGATGTGAGTGCCTCGGTGTGCCGGTGGTCTCCTCCATGCTCTGCTTCACCTTCCCCACCAGCATCCCCAGCCCCACCACGGCTTGGCTGCCCCAAACCTGCGTTAGGGCAGCGCTGGGCTGGAGGACACGGCCCCAGCTCCTGTTGGCTGGCAGGACATGGAGCTGTGGGACCCTCAGCTCACTGTCCTCGGCCACCATTGTGGCCCAGAAGAGGGGCTGTCAGAGGGGACAGAGAGCCCCTGCCCTGCTGCTCGCGGGGCCGCGTGCTCCCTGCGCCGCGGGCAGCAGGAGCTGGTGGCCACGGGGCGGCCGCCCGCAGTGACTCTTCTCCCTCTGGCAGGGCCGCAGCGGTGCCAAGGGCGAGCAGGGGGACAGCGGCGTGCCAGGCCCCCCCGGCGCCCCCGGCCTCCCCGGCGTCCCGGGGCAGCTCGGTCCCCCGGGCCAGGTGTGTAGTCCTGGATCCTGGCAGTCCTGGAACCCGGGAGCCCAGGCTCCTGCTGGGCAAGCAGGGCTGTGAGCCCGCGAAGGAGCCCTGCCCCACGGGCACTGCCCCGGTGTGGGGTGCTGGGCGCTATCGTGTCCCCTCTTCCAGGGCTCGCCAGGCCTCCCCGGCGTTGCTGGACCAAAGGTGGGTGACTTCCAGCCCACGCTGGAGGGCTCAGGGGTCCCCATGCAGGAGGGGGCTCGGGCCATCCTGGGGGCACCAAAGGGGTCCCTGTCTGGGCTGGAGCACACTGGAGCCGGTGCTGGGCAGCAGCCCTAATGCCTGCGCTGTGTTTCAGGGGGACCCAGGGGAGCCCGGATCCAGAGGGGAGCCGGTGAGTACCCGGAGCAGAGCGTGGCAAGCTGAGGGTGCCTCGGGGTGCTGCGAAGTGCTGCCCCTTCCCCAGGCAGCTCCTGAACCCGAACACAGGAGCTCTGTGCCCGCCGGTGCCAGGGCCGTGGGGCAGAGCTGCCCTCTGCTGCCAGCCCAGCTCCCTCAGGGCTGAAGGGCAGGCTCCACAGAGCCCCCGCCTCATGCTTCTGGCTGCTCCGTTCACTCTGAAACCTACTGAGGGCAGCATCGGTGCCATGGTAGTCTTCTCATTCGCCCTTGCTTTGCAAACCTAGGGTCGACCTGGCAATCCCGGAGCACGCGGTGAGCCCGGGGCAGGAGTGGTAAGTTACTACTGCCCTGACTGACCCCCAAATAAAGCTCCTACCACTGGGAGGTTGGTGGGGCCGGGACGTTATTCCTGGGCTGGAGCCCCAGAACCCAGGTGGGACAAGCAGGCTGGCACCAGCTCCATTCCTAATGTCCCTGTATTGCAGAACATTGAACGTAGCCTGGAAACTCTTGGCATCAAGGTACGTAGCCAGTGGCCCTGGGCCCGCACTCGTGGGCTGGGGGCTGCTCCAGCCACTGGCCAAGGAGCACCTGGTCGCGGGGCTGGAGGTGCCGGATGACATTCCTGACCTGTGGCTCGTTCTCCCTTGCAGATTTCCTCCCTCAAGGAGCTCACGGGTGCCTACGACGGCAGCTCGGACTCGTTCCTGCCCGTGTCCGAGCGCCTGCGGGGCCAGAAGGGCAGCAGAGGGGAGCCGGGGGAGAGGGGGCCGCCGGGCAGAGAGGTGAGCGAGACCTTGAGCAGGGCACCCTGTACCCAATGTGCTGCAATGCCCCCTGCCCTGTGCCCGGGCTGGCTCAGAGACCCCTGCCAGCCACCCACCACCAGGGCTGCTGCTGCCCTGGTGCCGTCATCCCACCTTGGGATGCTTTGGGTGGCTGCCGGCCCCACGCTTTGGGGGTGTGTGCCCCGCAGCGCAGCGGCAGCAGAGCAATGCTGTGTTTTGCAGGGCTCCATGGGCTTCCCCGGCGAGCGGGGACCCAAAGGCGACAAGGGGGACCAGGGCGCGCCCGGCCCGCAGGGCCCCACGGGCCGTGCTGTGGGTGAGCGGGGCCCCGAGGGGCCGCCTGGGCAGCCGGGAGAGCCCGGCAAGCCGGGGATCCCTGGGGTGCCGGGCCGGGCCGGCGAGCTGGGGGAGGCCGGGAGGCCCGGCGAGAAGGTGAGTGGCGCGGGCGCGGGCCGGGGACCCTGCCTGCCCGTGCTGCCTGTGACGGGCGCTGCCTGTGTCCCCAGGGCGAGCGAGGCGACAAGGGCGACCGTGGCGAGCAGGTGAGCCGGGCACGGCTCCTGGAGACAGGCTCTCCATGGGGCACCCGCAGGTGAGCGAGGGGTGACCGGGCTCTGCTGCGCCCCTCTGATGCTTGTCCCATGTGTCTTGTTGCCAGGGCAGAGAGGGTTTGCCGGGCCCCCCCGGTCCCCCCGGGCCCAAGGTAGGTGCCGTGTGCTGCGGTGCGCGGGGTGGCAGGGTGCCGCGGGGCTGACCGCCGTGCCCGCAGGCGGACGTGGCTGAGGGCAGCGTCATGGGCCTCCCGGGCGAGCGCGGCACCGCCGGAGCCAAGGGAGCCAAGGTGACAGCCGCGACGAGGGGCCGGAGCCGGGACGGGAGCCGTGCATGCGGTGCCAGCCCCGTGCCCGGGCTGATGGGGCCGGTGCCGGCGGTGGCACCGGGGCCGCGTGGCCGACGGCGGCTGCCTCTCCCCGCAGGGCGAGCCGGGCGCCGAGGGCGAGCGCGGACCCAAAGGAGATAAGGTCTGCGTGTAGTAAGTCTCCGGAGCGTCCCGCGCTTCCCGCTGCGTCTCGGCGCGCGCTCGGCTCTCTGCGATGGAGCGGCGGCCGGTGCGGCGCGGCCGGGCTCCGCAGCGCGCGCCTCTCCCCGCAGGGCGAAGCCGGGCCGCGGGGCGCGCCGGGAGAGGCGGGCGACAAGGGCCGCGACGGCTCCCCGGTGAGTAGGGCACGCTGCCCGCGCCCTGTCCCCGCGGCCCGGCCCGCGCCCTGACACCCGCCCTGTCCCCCGGCTCTAGGGCCTCCCGGGCGAGAGGGGACTGGCGGGTCCCGACGGGAAGCCGGTGAGTGGGGCGGGCGCGCGGGGTGGGCATGGGACAGGTCGGGGGGAAGGTGCCCGCAGCCCTGCCCGCAGCGTTCCTGCGCCGCACTGCGTCCTCATCCCGCGCAGGGATGCGGGGCTTTAGGGGCTGCCCGCCCCGCCGTAAGTACCGCTCGCCTGCGGGTCTGGGTCCGGCTCTGTGTCCCTAACCCGCCACCTTTGCCGTGGTCCTTTCCAGGGCTTGCCAGGCTTCCCCGGCGTGCTGGGCCGCCCGGTAGGTGTTCGTGTCACCCACGTGTCCCTGTCCTGCTGCGTGCGCGTGTCTGGGACAGCACCCTTGTCCCCCAGCACCACGGTGGGCTCAGGCAGCGCCGGCCCCACGTGTCCTGCTGGGTTTGGCCCCGCTTCGCTCGTCCCTGCCGGCGCTGTCCGGCCTCCCCCTGCCAGGGAATGCGTCGCAGCGCTGGGAATCCCTCCTGGCGCTGACCGCTTCCCTCGTCCCCTCAGGGCAACCAGGGAGAGCCGGGCCCACCAGGACCTCCGGTAAGGACTTGCCCTGCGCGGCAGTGAGCTGGGGCGGCCAAGGGCCGGGACCGCGCGTGGTCCCGGGCGCCCTTGCCGTGCCGTGGGGCTGCAAGCGCAGGGCCAGGGCTCGGCCACCCCATAGACAACATGCCGCTGCTCTCCGCAGGGCGCCGCCGGCCCGCCGGGCGGCCAGGGCCCGCCTGGTGTGAAGGTACGTGGTGGCCCTGCTGGAGCTGGCAGCAGCTGGTGACACGCTGTGACGCGGCGGTGGCTCTGGGTCGGGGCGGGGGGCTGACCGGTGCTGTCCTTGCAGGGCGATCCAGGGGAACCCGGCTCCAGCATCCGGGTGAGTCCTGCGCCCTCCCGGCCCCCTCACCGGGCACCACCGGGCAGGCCGTGCCGAGGGCAGCACCGCGGCTCCCCTGACACCGCTCTCGGCCTTGCAGGGCTTGCCTGGTCCCCAGGGCAGCATAGGGCTGCCCGGACCCCCCGGACCCCCCGGCCTCGTGGTAGGTACCCGGGGCGCTCTGCGCTTGGGAGAGGCCCTTGCTGCGCTCCGCTGCCGCTTCACCTTGTGCTCACTCTCTATCGCAGGGCCCGCAGGGTGCCCCCGGGCTGCCAGGACAGGTGGTGAGTGCTCCTTCCCCACAGCATCCCTGAGTCTCGCCTGGTCCGGGTGGCAAATCCAGGCTGCCATGGGCAGCGGGGCTGGGGCTCCCTGGGGATGTGCCGTCCCCAGCCCTGCCCTGCAGCCCCAGCTCCCGCTTTGCCGCCCGCAGGGGGAGAGCGGGAAGCCGGGCGTGCCGGGCAGGGACGGCGTGCCAGGCAAGGACGGCGAGCCGGGGCTGCCCGGCAAGACGGTGCGTGCTGGGGATGGCCGCGGTGGCCAGGAGGCGGGGGCAGCTGCGCCCGCCGGGCCCTTGGCACCGGGCTGACGGCTGTGCCGTTTGTGCCAGGGGCTGCCGGGACCGTCGGGCCCTGCAGGTCCCAAAGGAGAGCCTGGGGACGCCGGAGCACCGGGCCAGGTGAGTGCCGAGTCCTGCAGGAGCGGTCAGCAACCGCCCCTGCCCGCCCCGGTGCAGGAGCCTCGGCCTGCCCTGCTAACCAGCCCCTTCTCCCCCACACCACAGGCTGTTGCTGGCCCTCCCGGAGCCAAAGGCGAGAAGGTGAGGAGCCGGGGGGCAGGGGGTGCTGTGCCCGGCCCGGGGCTGCGCCACGGCACCCGTCACTGCAAGGGGTGCACGCTGACCGCTGTGTGCTGCTGCAGGGCGAGCCGGCGCTGCTCGACGGCGTGCTGCTGCGGGAACACGTAAGCTGGTCCTCATCTCGCCGTCCCTCTGCCCCTCTCCATCCCTCTGCCTCCTGCTAACGCAGGAATAACGCTGCTCTCGCTCCCCGGCAGGGCTCCAAGGGCGAGCGGGGGCTGCCTGGCCCCAAGGGAGAGAAGGTGCGGAGCTGCCGCGGGCCGGCGGGCAGGGCGGTGGGCAGCCGCGTCCGCCCCCGTCCCCAGCCACCACCTCTGCCCTTTGCTTCTTTCCTGTGGCCAGGGGGAGCCTGGAGGTTTTGGAGAGCCCGGAGATCCTGGGGAAGATGTGAGTAGGAGCCAGTGGGGTGCCGGGCGGGTCGGTGCTGCCCGGGAGGGCTGGACCCGCTGCAGCTCCCAGCGCCGGGGCAGTGTCACCGCTGCTGGTTGGGAGCCCATCCGTGTGTCCTGCTGTGGAGCTGCTGGGAGCACGTGTGCCCAGCGTGGGCATCGCTGCCCCCTGCACCGCCCGTCCTCTGCTCACACCTCCTGGTGCCTCCGTGTCTCCACAGGGAGCCAAAGGATCCGCTGGAGCCAAGGGGGAAAAGGTAAGAGAGCCCCCTTGTCCCAGGCGGGCAGGGTGTCTCCCAGGCATGGGGGGCAGCTCGGGGGGGCCACAGTGCCCCCGAGACCCCCAGGACGCCTCTCCTGGGCCTGCCCCATGGGTGACTGTCTGCCACCCGTGCAGGGCTCTCCTGGCGTCGGTGTGCGGGGACCCCCGGGACAGGACGGACCTCCTGGCTTGAAGGTGGCTTGTGCCCTGCGTCACTCCAGCTCTGCTCGTGTGCCCAGCTGCCGGCTTGTGTCCAGCCTGCTGGGCTGCTGTGTCCCTGGGCTCTCCCTGGGGGCTGTCTCCCCATCTTTTCCCCTCAGTTTGCCCATCTTTCCCGCTCTGCTCCAGGGTGACACTGGCTTGCCAGGCCCACCGGGACCGCCCGGCTTGGCAGGAGTCGCCGGGAGCCCGGGCCAGCCGGGCTTGAGAGGAGAGAGCGGGCAGCCGGGCCCGCCGGGGCCCCCCGGAGAGAGGGTAAAGGACGGGGTCCCGCCTGCCCCCCGGTGCTCCCCGCCGCCCCGCGCGGCCTGCGCAGCGCCCCGCGCGCCGCTCACCGGCCCCTCTCTCCAAGGGGCCCCTGGGCATTCCCGGGCGAGACGGCACATCCGGACCGGCGGGACTGCCAGGGCCCCAGGGGCCAGCTGTGAGTGTGCGAGCCCAGTGCCCCCGGGTGCCTGTGCTGGGGGGCAGCGCGGGGGTGTCCCCGGGGCTGTGCTGGGGCTTGTGGCTGCTCGGGGCTCCGGAGAGCCCCGGGGCTCGGGGATCCGCAGAGCCCAGACGGAGGGAGGCGTCAGGGCATCCGGCACCACGTTCCTGTAGTGGGACAGGGCAGCCAGGACGTTTCATCCCTGGGACAGCCCCAAGGTTGCTCCCCAGTGCCGCTTGCAGCTGGAGCTGCTCTGCTCATCTGTCCCCTTCGTTCCAGGGCGCACGAGGGCTGTCCGGCCTGAAGGGTGACAAGGTAGGACCCGGCGCGCAGGGGGACGGTGACCGCGGCCAGGACCCTAACGCATCCTCGCTTCCCCGCCCGCGGCGCAGGGGGAGCCGGGGATCGGGCTGCCCGGAGCCAGAGGCGAGCGAGGAGACCCCGGCCCGCGGGTAGGCGCCGCTGCTGCCCTCGCAGGGTGCCCGTGCGGGGCAGAGCCCCCCGGCCGGGCGCTCGGGCTGCTGCCGGCCGCCGCGGCCGCCGCTGCGCTGGGGACACTCCTGCTCCCAGCCTGCCGTTCCGCTGCCTTTTCTCCTGCAGGGTGACGATGGGCGCCCGGGGCTGGAAGGGGACCGCGGACCGGCGGTAAATCCCACCCCCCCATATCCCTGCCTGCCTCTCTAGCCCCGTCCCTGCCTCACCATCCCTGTCCTCTCTCCTGCAGGGCCTGCCCGGGAACCGCGGGGAGCGCGGGGACAAGGTAGGCAGCGCTCGGGGCCACCACGCGGCTCCGGCGGGCCGGGGTCCCCATGCAGAGGGGTGCCCCCTCCCCACTGCCCACACAGCACCTCAACCCCAACCCTTCCTTGCAGGGAGACATCGGGGCCATGGGGCCCAAAGGAGACAAGGTGGGTGCCGGGGCTGGCGCCAGGACAGCGGGAGGGTGGTGGCACTGCCCGTGTCACCTACGCCTCTCTCCTGTCCCGTGCAGGGCGATACCGTCGTGGTGGAGGGGCCCGCTGGAGCGCGGGGCAGCAAGGGGGAGCCGGTAGGAGCCTGACCCCTTCCCGTCCTCCCTGTGCCCTACTCGTCCTCCCCGTCCCCCTCCCGTCCTCCCCGTCCCCCTTCCCGTCCTCCCCGTCCCCACAGGCAGCTCCTGCCTGGAGCTGCTCTTCCAGCCTGTCACCAGAGAGATCCCCTGCGGCCGCGTGGCAAAAGCGCTGGGGACGTCTCTCCTCCTCATCCCATCCTCATTCCCGTGCCCTCCCTCTGCTTCCCCCGCAGGGAGAGCGTGGCCTGAAGGGCACAGAAGGGGACAAAGGGGACAAGGGCGAGCAGGGCATCCCTGGAGAGAAGGTAGGGGCTGCAGGGAGGGCTGGGGGCCAGGGCACCGGAGCGTGCGCAGCCCGAGCCTGGCACGGCGCGCAGTGCCCAGCACGGTGCTCGGCACCCCAGCACAGAGGACCGCCGCGGCCGCTGCTGGGCACCGCTGTGCAGGGGCTCTAGACGCCTCGGTGGCCCTCACGGTCTGCACTTGCAGGGGGCACGGGGCGAGCAGGGGGAGAAGGGCTCCACGGGCTTCCCCGGGGCGCGCGGCCCCGGCGGGCAGAAGGTGAGGAGCCGGGCGGCCGCCGGGCACCCGGGGGCGCAGGGCCCGCGGTGTCCCCGGCCCTGAGCCCTGCCTTTGCCTGCGCCCTTTGCAGGGAGAAGTCGGTGCGTCGGGAGAGCCTGGTGAGCCGGTGAGGACCCGCTTCAGCGCCGCCGCCCTGCGGGCAGGAGCCCTGCGTCACTCCGTGCCAAGCAGTGTCACTCGGTGTCACGCGATACCACTCGGTGCCACGCTGTGTCACGCTGCGTTTGCCTCTCCCGCAGGGCCAGCAGGGCCGGGACGGCATCCCCGGCGCCCGGGGAGAGAAGGGCGACATGGGCCCGCTGGGCATGCGTGGCCCCAAGGTGCGTCGTCCCCGCGCGCCCGGCCAGGCCCGCGCAGGGCACCGCGGCTCCGCTCACCCCCTCTCCCCCGCAGGGCGATCGGGGCGTCAAAGGCGCCTGTGGCCTTGATGGTGACAAGGGCGAGAAGGTGGGTGGCGGTGCTGGGGCAGCCTGGCTGGTACCCACACCCTGTCACCCCGTGTCCCTTGAGCATCCGTGAGCAGGGAGGTGGCCGAGGGGGCACGTGAGCCCCGCGGCCGCCTCTCGCTGACCGCTGTCCATCTGTCCGTCTGTCCTGCCCATCGCAGGGAGAGCCGGGCATCCCGGGCCGCTCCGGGCTGCCAGGGAGGAAGGGCGACCCGGTAAGTGCCGCGCTGGGGTGTCCCCGTGGTGGGGGGACAAGGACACGCGGCCCACGGCTCCCCGGCATCTGCTTTGCCCCTAGGGAGAGCTGGGCCTGTCGGGAGCGCCGGGCATCCCCGGGAAGGAGGGACTCATGGGGCCCAAGGTAGGTGCAGGTGCCTCCCGGAGGCCTTGGCTCTGTCTCCCGTCACAGCTCTGGGAGGAGAAGCCGGGCTGGGATTTCGGGACATCCGCAGCCCCCCAGCACAGGGAACCGCAGGGCCGGTCCCGCTGCTGCGTCCGCCCTGCACAACCCGCCTTCCTTCCGCAGGGCGACCGCGGCTTCGACGGGCAGCAGGGCGCCAAGGGGGACCAGGGGGAGAAAGGAGAGCGGGTGAGCAAGGGGGAAGGCGCAGGACCCCGTCCCCGCGGCGCCGGGAGCGGGGCTGAAGCCCCTAAAGAGCCGCTCCAGCCCCGGGTGATGCTCTGGGGCCCGGCGCCGGCTGCGATAGCGGGAGCCCGGCCTGACCCCCTGCTCTCCCCTAGGGCGCTCCGGGCGTCATCGGTGCCCCTGGCCCACGGGGCAGCGACGGGGCGCCCGGCCCCCCCGGCCCGCCGGGCATCGTTGGTCCCCGCGGGCCCGAGGGGATGCAGGGCCAGAAGGTGAGTCCTGGGGGATGCGGAGCTGACCGGGCTCACTGCAATGAGTGCACACCCGCACGTGCGCACACGCAGGAGATGCTGAAGATGAAGGTACTTTTGAATTAGGAATTTTACGGCTTTTGGATGAGTCTTTCCATTCGTCCCTTGCAGGGCGAGCGAGGCCCGGCGGGTGAGGCGGTGACGGGCGCGCGCGGCGTGCCCGGCATCCCCGGCGAGAGAGGAGAGCAGGTTGGTGGGTGGGCGCCCGGCGCGCGCGGAGCTCTGCGGAGCCGTGGGACATGGTCCCAGCGCTGCCTCCGCTTGTCCCTAGGGCAGCCCGGGCCCCCAGGGGCTGCGCGGGGAGAAGGGCGAGCTGGGCATGACGGTAAGGGGGCACAGGGAGGGTGAGCGGCGCAGGGGGTCACTGGGGCGGGAGCGGGTGCCAGCTCTCAGCCTCGGGCTCAGTGCCGGGAGCTGTTTCCATGTTCGGCCAGCTGGCTGAGGGGACAGTTTTCCCTATGGCTAACAGCCCTTTCCCTCACTGCCACCCGCATCCGCTGCCTGTGCCCTTCGGCACGCTGCCTTCCTGCCAGGAGGAGGAGATCCGGGCCTTCGTGCGGCAGGAGATGAGCCAGCACTGCGGTGAGCGAGCCGCCCTCCCGCGCCCCGCGGCGCATGCCTGCCCGGGCACCGGCACCGCAGCCGCTCACGCCACCTCCCATTTCTCCCCGCAGCCTGCGGAGGGCAGTTCCCGCGCCTGGATCCACGGGAGCACTCAGGTTCCGCGTCCGTCCCTCCCCTCTCCCTGCAGCCCTGTGTGCAGCACGCGGCTCCCGTGCCGAGCGGGTCTGTGCGCCCGGTTCGACACTGCGCCGTCCATGCGCCCCATTCAGCACTGCGCCCATCCGTGCCCCCGTTCGGCAGTGCGCCCATCCGTGCCGAGCAGCTCTAAGCCCCACATGCTGCAGGTTTCCCTGGCGGTCGCCAGGGCCCTCTGGGAGCCGCCTTCCCTCCAGCCGGTGCCAGGGGTGCCCAGGCTGTGTCTGCACCGTGGGGCTGCCTGGAGCTCCGCGCTGGGGCTGCGCAGCCCCGGCAGGAGCGCGTGAGGAGGAGGAGGGTCGGGCTGCAGCAGCACTCGGAAGAGGAGGCTCTGGCAGGGCCTGCGTGCCCCAGGCTGCCGAGCCGAGGAGGGAGCGGGCGCCAAAGCCGCTGTGGGGCTGGGGAGCCCTGGCCAGCTGGGCACGGGCCAGGGGTGCAGGGGGCCGGCGGGAGCCCCCACGGGAGCGCGGGGGCTGCGGCGGGCGTGAGACGGGCGCTTTGTCTCCAAGGAGGCTGGGGGACTCATGCCAGGAACAGCTTTAACTTGGCCAGGGGAAGAGGAAGACGCGTCCGCCAGGAGAGGGAGCGCGGCCGAACAGGTGACGGAGAGCCCGGAGCGCCGCCCCGGCCGCGGTGCCGGCGGGACTGGGCGCCCACGGGCGCTCGTCCCACTAGGGCAGCCCGGCCCGGGTTCCCACACGTGTCCTTGAATGGGACGGTCACTGGTGGCTGTGTGCGTGTCCCTGCCACGCTGCAGCGTATCCAGGGGCACCGCCGGACCCCATTCCCGGGCCGCGTTTCCCGCAGGATCCTCTCCTCCAGGGTGTTCAGTGCCAGCTGCAATAGCGTGTTTTCCCTCCCAGGGACTGGAGGGACGTGCCCCGGGCTCCCTACACGTCCTCTTTGATGTTTGTGCCGTCTCCTTCCCCACTTCCCAGGTCTCCTCCCCAACTATCCATCCACCCAACCGTTCCCTGCCCATGTAGTCCCTGTGCTTAAGTTGTCACACGCGGAGGAAGAGGAGGGTGAGTGTCGTCCCTGTGCTTCCCGTCTCGTAGCTCCCCCTTTCCCCTGCTCTGCCTGTGTGTCCTGGCGTGTCCTGGCGTGTCCTGGCGTGTTCCTGCCCCTCGTGTGTGGGTTCCAAGGGATGCCCAGCTCCCTGTGGCAGTGCAAGCGGCTAGTGTGTGCATGCATGCATGTGCATGCACAAGTGTGTGCGTACATGCATGGGTGCGTGCATGCATGTGCAAGCAGGGGGCTGCATGGGCTGCAGGAGGGAGGTAAAGGAGGGCAAGTGGGCTCTCAGACCCCAGTCCTGCTTGCCCCTGTGCGACAAGGCTCTCACCAGGCGGCCTTGCCCCCAGGGCAGAACACGGGCGCTGTAGCTGACGCCAGCGACCTCGAGTACGAGCACATGTACCCGGAGGAGGACTACGAGGAGTCGGCGGAGGCGGCCGGCGCGGAGCAGACCCTCGCGCACGACAGTGAGTAGCGCCACGCGTGCGGGGCTGGTTCCTGCGGAGCCCCCGGCAGCCTGTGGAGGGTCCCCATAGAGGGCTGCTGTGCCACCACGTCCCCTGCCCACCCTCCTGGTGCAGAGACTGCCCAGGGCAGCGTCATTCCTGTGTCCCAGCCACCTGGAACCCTTCCCGCCCTTGCCCTTCCCACGGGAGCCGTGGGCTCCTAAACCGCCCTTGCTTTGGTGGCGGCAGAGGGGAGAGCCCAAGGCGGGCGGCGGGGATGGGACGGGCGCCCCGCTCTGCTCCGCAGCCGGTGCGGGCAGAGGGAGGACGGAGCCGCGGCCGCCGGGGCTCTTACGGTGCTCATGGTGCTCATGGCGCTCACGATGCTCGTGGCGCTTGTGGCACTCACAGCGCTCACGATGCCCGTGGCGCTCACGGCGCTCACAGTGCTCCTGGTGCTCACGGTGCTCATGGTGCTCGTGGCACTCACGGAGCTCGTGGTGCTCACGCTGCTCGTGGTGCTCACGGTGCTCATGATGCTCGTGGCGCTCACAGCGCTCACGGTGCTCGTGGCACTCACGGTGCTCATGCTGCTCGTGGTGCTCATGGCACTCACGATGCTCGAGGCACTCGTGGCGCTCACGGTGCTCACGGCGGTGCCCGGCCCGCAGCACGGCGCTGCGCGCAGCCGCTGGACGAGGGCGAGTGCCGCCGCTACACGCTGCGCTGGTACTACAACCAAAGAGCCGCCGAGTGCCGCCCCTTCGTCTACGGCGGCTGCCGCGGCGGCACCAACCGCTTCGAGAGCCGCGAGGACTGCGAGCGCCTGTGCGGGCGCCGGGCGTAGGCAGGTGGGACCCAGCGCCACGGCTGCCCGGGGGCATCGAGACCCCTCGGGGAGCAAGGGGGCCCCTTGGGGAGCATTAAGACCCCTCGGGGAGCAACAGGGCCCCTTGGGAAGCAAGGTTGCCCCTTGGGGAGCACATTGCAGACACCCTGGGAGCATGGCAGCCCCTCAGGGAGCAATGAGGTCCCTTGGGGGGAGCATTGCAGACACCCTGGGAGCAACGTGGCCCCTTGGGGAGCAATGCAGCCCCTTGGGGCGCACTGTGGCCCTTCGGGGAGCATTGCAGCCCCTTGGAGAGCATCTTGGCCACCCTGGGAGCATTGTGGCCCTTTGGGGAGCATCGTAGCCCTCCAGGGAGCATCGTGGCCACTCTGGGAGCACCGCGGCACCGGGCTGGGCACTGATGCCCCCCTCTTTCCCGCAGGTGCCCGTGCCGTGTCCAGCAGCGGCGCGGGGGCTCTGCCCCGGCGATACGGAGCTCGGCCGTGCCGGGGGCGCCGCGGCGGGGCCGTGGTGCGGCCGCGCTCGCCGCGGCCACCCCGCTGCTCCTCCCGCGGGAATCCCGCGGGAACCTGGTGCTATTTCCAATGTGTATTTTTCTTGCTCGCGTGTTTGGTTTTTGTTTTGTTCTGTTTTCATTCCACTTGGTTTTATTTTCCATTAAGGTGAAATTTCTGTCAAATGGGATACCCAGCTCCCCCCATCCTTTTAACCTCCTTTCCAAAGCGGAGTTTTCTCAGTTTGTTTGATTTTTAACTTATTTGCTGCTCTTGGCACAGCTCCCAGCTCCTTCTCCAGGGTCCCGGTGCTGCCAGAGCCGCAGAGGTTTCAGGCTGCTCTCATCTCCTCAACGCCCCAGAAACCCTGTGGGGGTCCCAGAGCGTCCCCCCCAGCCCCTTGGCCGTGCCCATGCGTGCTCCAAGCCCGGCGGCCCCCGAGAGCCGTCCTGCTCTCTGCAACCTGCTGCATTTGAATAAATTTCACCTTGATCCCAGCGGGTCCTGGGTGCCGTGTCGCGGGGTGCAGGGAGGCTGCGGCTGCCGGCAGCACCTCGGTGCCGTGCGGGGTGCCCGCCCTGGAGCTGGTGCCACATTCCGGGCGGATCCAGCCCTTGGACGCTCCGCTCGCTCCCGGGGGCTCTCTCGCTGCCCGCAGCCGTGTGGGGACCCCCGGGTGTGCCGGCCGCAGCGTGACGTGTTGGCACCGCGGGCTAAATCGGGCTGCTCCGGCAGCCCTGGGGGGCATCCTCAGCCTGCAGGAACAGAGCGGCCTTGTATCCCAGCATGGGTCATCCTGCGGCCACCGCGCCCGGACAGCGGCACCCCCCCGGGCTGAGCACCGGCCAACTCATCGCAGGAAGGGGCCGCATGGCCTGTGCACCCCTGCGGCACGGGGGGGATATAGAGGGTGCAAGGGGAGATATGGAGGGGTGCAAGGGGAGATAGAGAGGGGGGCAAGGGGGGATAGAGAGAGTGCAAGGAGGGATATGGAGGGGTGCAAGGAGGGATATGGAGGGGGGCAAGGGGGGATAGAGAGGTGTGTAAGGGGGGATATGGAGGGTGCAAGGAGGGATATGGAGGGTGCAAGGGGACCAGAGTGTCCCCTGGCAGGGCAGCAACAGCACAATGCTGGTCAGCCATGGTTGGCATGTGTGTTTTGCCCCTTCCTTCCATGATTAAGGCTGACAGGGGCCGGAAGCCTCAGCAAGAGGGAAAAACAGATCATCTCCATCATCAGGCGTGAGATATTGATGTTTGAGTCGCCGGAGTTCCCGGAACACGCTCCAAACGCAGCCTGTGGTGCTGCAAGGGGGCAAACGCCACCCGTGTCGTGTCCCGGGATGATTTCATCTGCTATTAGGCAGGCTGCATTAATAACAGCCCCCCGCGCGCCCCTGTCCCCCGGCGCAGCGGGAGGTGGGGCTGGGGGCAGGATAAGAGCCGGTGTTCGGCACGGGCAGCCCCGGAGCCGGGCGCAGGGCCGCGAGGACGCGGATCCCGCCGGGAATGGTGAGCTCGCCGCCCGCCAGCGGGGGCACAGGGGCACGGAGGGTCGGCTGCCCGTCCCTGCCCGCGGGGCTCGCGCTCCGGCCGCGCTGGGGAGAGCCGGGCAGGCTGCGGAGCCGGCCCGGAGCAGGACGGCATCATCCGGACGGAGGGGCACGCGCTGGGGCTGCGCTCGGCCCGCCTTACACGTGCCCTCGGCATCCCACAGCCACCTGCCCACCGCTATTTAAGGGATATTGCCCAACGTCCTGAGGGGCGGGCAGCGTTTTCCTTGGAAAGTCCCGGGTCCAAGTGAATCCCCGGCGGAACAGAGGGGTTGGCAGGATTCCCCACGGCTGCGGCAGCCGGGACGCTGTCCCCTCGCACCTGGGGACAAGGGGCGAGTGGGGAAGGAGACAGCGAGCATTGCAGCAGGCATGGGGGACTGGCCGGGGGCTATTCCCAACGAGGGAATATTCCCGCAGGTGCTCCCCGCCGGGCCCCTCGGCACGCTGCTGGTGGCCATCCTGGTTGTCACCCGGTCTCCGGTGGGAGCCCGGCCGGCACTGGGCAGGGAAAGCCCCGGGAGCAGCCGGATGCCGCCGGCCCCCGCGGGCCGCTCCGAAAGGCGAAGCCTGGAGCAGGGCTCCGGGCAAGGGGCTCAGCCAGACGAGCCAGAGCTGCTGCCCCAGGGAGCACCCGCCACAAGGACCCTTCCCCGGGCTGGCACCGGCACGACGAGGGGCGGCGTGACGAGGGTGTCCCTGTCCCTGGACGTCCCCGTGCACGTGCTGAGGGTGCTGCTGGAGCTGGCCCGGGACAGCGAGCTGCGGGCCAGGGCGGCGGCCAACACGGAGCTCATGGCCCGCGTGGGCCGCAGGAGATAAACCCTGTCTGCAGCCACGGCGGAGCCCAGGGCGCCGGGAGCAGCCGGCTCGCGGGGCCGGGAGCGCGCGGATACACAGGGAGCAGCGCGGCGGCCGCCCCGGTGAACGCTCCCCGGTTCCAGCCCGTCGCCCAAGTCTCCCCAATAAACCACCGTCGGCAGAGCCGTGTTGGCTGCGAGGGAGTGGGCGCGTGGCCGGCATTCCCAGCCTGTGCGGCTCTGCACCCGGCGCCGGTGACGCCTCGTCCGCCACGTCCCGCGAGGCGCCCAGATAAGAGGCGAGCGGCGCGGCGGTGCAAAGGGCAGGAGGCACGGGAAGGCGCGCGGCGCCGGCAGCACCATGTTCTTGGAGGAGTACGGGCTCTATGGTAGTAAGCGCCGCGCCGGGAGCACCCGCGCCGGGAGCACCCGCGCCGGGAACCCCTACACCGGGAGCGCCCGCGCCGGGAGCACCCGCACCGGGAACCCCTGCACCGGGAACCCCTACACCGGGAGCACCCGCACCGGGAACCCCTACACCGGGAGCACCCGCGGCTCCCGCTGCTCCGGTCCCGTGCGCAGCCGCCGGTGGTGCCTTCCCGGCTGCCATTCCGGGCAGCCGTGCCGGGAGCTGCCGCAGGTTTTGGGAGGGGGTGTCAGGACGGGTTGGGGCTCACGCAGCCTGAGGGCTCCCCTGTCCCTGGGTGTCCTTGCTGGCCCCGTGTGCCCCCTGCCCCATGGGTTCCCGGTCCCCTCCATCCCAGTGTCCCATCCCATGGCCTCCCTCCTAGCGGGTCCCCTTTTCCTGCCCCCTTTTCCTGGCCCCCACCCCACGTCCTTCATCCCAGCGTCCCCCCGATCCCCAGCCCGGGGGGACCCAAGTCCCAGTCCCTCCCCAAGCTCCGCCTCCTTCACAGTCCACCAATCAGGCCCCTCCTCTCCCCGTCAATCACCGCCGTCTCCATGGCCACAGCTTCGCCCCGCCCCAGGCCTGGAGCGCCCCGGCGGCCACCGGGAGCCACGTCAGGACGGGCGGGGCGTAACTGTGGCCATGGAGACCGCAGTGATTGACGAAGATAGACGGTTTCTGATTGGCGGACGGTGACGGAGGCGGAGCCGGGCGG